ATTATAATCATTGTAATGAAACAAGGTGTATGATTTGTCAAATGTAAAACTGATGATCTTTCCTGTAAACTTTCACTCAATTCACAATAAAATCTTAAAAAAAAAGTACACTGACAGGGAACCGCCAGAAATTCAAGCCAGATTCAGAAGAGGATATAGGACTATGGATATAGTTCAGGCAGATCTTGGCTGAAAGCAGAGAATACTAGAAAGATGTTTACTTGTGCTTTATTAACTATGCAAAGGCTTTGAACTGTGTGGCTATGACAAGCTATAGATAACACTACGAAGAATGGGCAATCCAGAACAGTTCGTTGTGCTCATGAGGAACCTGTACACAAACCAAGAGGCAGTCTTTAGAACAGAACAAGGAGATACTGAATAGTTTAAAATCAGGAAAAGTGTGCATCAAGGTTGTATCCTTTTCACCATACAGACTCAATCTGTATGCTAGGCAAATAATCTGAGAAACTGGATTCTATGAAGAAGAGTGTGGCATCAGGACAAGAGGAAGACTCATTAACAACCTTTGATATGCAGATAATACAACTTTGCCTGTTGGAAGCAAAGAGGACTTAAAACATTGATTAAGATCAAAGACTACAGCCTTCAGTTGGATTGCAATTCAATATAAAGAAAATAAAAAGTCATCACAACTGGACCAATAATTAATATCATGATAAATGGAAAAAACATTGAAGTTCTCTAAGACTTCAATTTTCTTGGATCCACAATCAACACTCATGGAAGCAGCAGTCAGGAAATCAAACAACGTATTGCATTAGGCAAACCTGCTGCGAAAGACCTCTTTGAAGTGTTCAAGAACAAAGATACCAGTTTGAGGATTAAGCTACACCTGAACCAGTCCATGGTATTTTTCAATCACCTTATATACATACGAAAGTTGGACACTGAATAAGGAAGACCATAGAAGAATCAATGCATTTGAATTACGGTGCAGGAAAAGATTATTCAAAGTAACATGGTCTGACAGTTGTTAAGTTCCATCGAGTTGGTTCTGACTCACAGCAACTCTAGATAGGATTTCCAAGTAGCAGCTAGTGGGTTTGAACTGCCGCAGTCCAGTGCTGATCCTCCAGTACCACGCCAATGCCAGATTAACAAACAAATCTGTGTTGCAAGAAGTACAGCCAGAATGTTCCTTAGAGCCAGAATGGTGAGACCTTGTCTTTCACACTTCAGATATGTTGGGGTGTGGGCAGTTCCTGGAGAAGGACATCATGATTCGTAAAGTGGAGGGGCAGCAGAAAAGGAGGAAGATTCAAGATGGAATGACACAGTGGCAGTTCAAATGTAACAATAGTGAGGATGGTGTAGGACCAGGCAGTGTTTTGTTCTGTTGTACCTAGGGTCACTATGAGTCAGAATCAACTGGATGGCACTGAACAGTAACACATAAGGAGAACAAAAGCACTAGGGAATTATACACACTTTAGAATAATCAATTTGAGATCAAATGGGGAGCATTTACCCAAGGACAAAGATCAAAAGGGTTAGGAAAAAAGGAGGAATGGAAACAGGAAAGACAAGAAGAAATGGGATAAATGATGTCATTATTGTGGGAATTGCAATCAATGACATGAAATACAATGTGTATGAATTTTTGAATGGAAAATTTATCTGTTCTGTAAACCTTCACTGAACTCACAAAAAACCTACACACACAGCCTGGTATTGGTATAGCAACAGACACAAAGACCAATAGAAGAATGTAATCAGTGTCACTAAATTGTGTATGTAGAAACTGTTGAATTGGTTTATGTTTTGCTGTGTATATTTTCTCAAAAACAAAATAAAACTTAAGAAAAAAAACTAACAGAGAAAAAAAGATAAAACTATCTTTATGGTTGTTTTAAAATTAGAAACAACTTACTACACTCTTGAAATTGGTCAATCATTAGTACTATCTACATAATGTTCTAGAGCAACTGGCTTTATTACTCCTGCCACCAGATGCACCTTCCCAGTGCTTGCACTCTATCCTTGGGCAGATGGTGCACGCTGACTTCAAAGGGTAGCTTGCTGGCACAGCAACTGTACTCTTCAGGTGAGTGATTTCTGCAACTGTTTGCACTGGAATTTAGGCCTTGGGAACATGGCGTGGGGCTGGGGGGAAGGGGACGGGACACGTGATTGCACTGATTCTCCATAGGTGTTTGATTCCACAGCCTGGATTAGACATTGGTGATGTTACAAACTTAAGAGAAATATTGGAAAAGCAAGCAATATGAGAAAAGAGTCATTTTCCAAGGCTTTAGTCAACTCTTGATCATATGAACATCCCCAAGAATTTAACCCCTGGGGTGGCGCTGTAGTGTAAGTACTGGACTACTAACCATAAGGTCGGTGGTTCAAACCCACCAGTTGCTCCTCAGAAACCCTATACAGGATCGGTATGAGTGGGAACCGACTCAATGGCACTTAGTAACAACGAGGAATTTTAAAGGCCCAATTTTTCTGCCTGTCACGGTATTGCGGCCTTTTACAATCTGATCCCAAAATCTTTTCTCAATTTGACCTCAGCACTGATCCCTTTCTACTCATCCCTGTCCATTCACCTGAAATGACTTCTATGGAGTCCTAGTGTGGCACTACAGGATAAGTACTGGATTACCAACTGCAAGGTTGGTGGTTCAAACTCACCAGCCACTATTCTGAAACCCAACGCAAGGTCGCTATGAGTCAGCATTGACTCTACAGCACTTAACAGAACCAACATCCCATCCCCATTCTACTTATTTAAATTCCTCCTGCCTTCTAGACCTC